TGGCGGGCGAGCTGCGACAACTGGCGCGAGCGTAGACCCCCCTGGTGGTTGATGTTACGCTACAGCCGTAGTGTTGTCTGAGCGGACAAGCACATGCTGGCCCTTGAGCAACGCTCTGAAGCGGTGCAGGGCGAGCCGTACTGCCAGCAGCTCGAGGCAATTGATGTGCATGAGGCGCTGGGACTCCTGTCCAGGAACCGGCGGCTGCATGCCCATTGCACATGGCACCCCAACCCGTGGTAGATGCATCCGTGGAGACGACGAGATGTCTGGAAACTCGCTGAATAGGGACACCTGTCCGTAAAAAGCTGAGGTTCGACCACGGGAAGAAGGTTCGCCGGCATGCCGGAGTCACTGGGACTCGGAGCAAGCCGCGATGCCATGCCCACCTCGGGACTCGATCGCGAAGCCACAGCTGAAGCGGTCTCATATGAAGCAAACCGAGCGGCGTTGCCGCGGCCGCGGATGCCATATGCCCCAGGAGCCTCTGAAAAAGTTTCAGTGGAACCGCACTCTTGCCCTCGAACTGACGAAGGCAAGCCAGCAGTGAGTGCGCGCGCGCTCGTTCGTGAGCTGCGCGGACATGGCGACCGAGTCTATCTCCATGCCGAGAAAAGAGATCCTCTGCACGGGGCAAAGTTTGCTCTTTTCCCGGTTGACCCGAAGGCCCAAACGGGCTAGGTGCCGGAGCACCAAGTCTCTGTGTTCGCAAAGCTGAGCTCGAGAGTGTGCTAGTATCAGCCAGTCGTCGAGATAATTCAGGATGCGAACCCCGTGTTCGCGAAGGGGAACAAGGGCTGCCTCGACGATCTTCGTGAAGACGCGAGGGGACAGAGCTAACCCGAATGGGAGAACGGCGTACTGATATGCCTGGCCCTCGAAGGCAAACCGAAGAAACGGTCTGTGTCGAGGTAAGATGGACACATGGAAGTACGCGTCCTTCAGGTCGATCGCTGCAAACCAATCCTGATACCGAACACATTCGAAAAATGCGTTGGCCGTGAGCATTTTGAACGGTAGTCG